GAGATTGCCTCGGAAACAGCGTCAGCATGAATGTTCCAGTAAAGCCAATCGACAGCTGGTCAAGAAGAATTCGCATTCGTCTTCTGGTGAAACCGACCTTCGAATGTCTTCACGCAACACTTTCACTCGAAATGGAAGTAGGCCAATCAAGATTACCCAATTTCACCCAAAATGGACATGAGCTGGATGGGTACCAACCCTTTTATGGTCAAAATGTCAACTTTTTCCGCACACATAAACACTCTGCAGTCCTGGCTGCCGCCCCAACGCCAAGATTTCCACACCCAACTGACCAGCCAGCAACAGAAAACCGGGAAAAAGCCAAAAATGAGTGTATTGCAATAGCCCGCAAAGCAGTATGGCCTCGATGGCCGACGTCAAGTCTGCGTCTTGGCCAGCAGAAGCAGAAGCCATCTTTGCGGTGCCAAAGAACAGCCTGTGTTGCCGACCAGCCGGGCCCACCAAGTGTACTCGTGACGCCAACTCGACAGTCGCCATGGCGACCGAACGTTGTCAGGCGAGCATGTAGCTGATTGGACGATCACCGGCTTGTGGTGAGGAGTCGCGGGAAATAGGGAAATATGCGGCATGTGGTAGGTGAAAAAGGTTGAGCTCAAGCCCCATCTGCCGCGAGAGTCCGGCTCCGAAGTGGGCGGTCGAGCCGACGGCCACAGATCAGCGTCGCCGACCAACCTGCTCGACGAGTCGAGGCTGCGCGCCTCTTCCGACGTGAACAGCGAGTCGAGCCAGTTGGACGAGTCCCGTGCGGCGGGACTCGACAGGCCGACGAGCCGGTGCTCGGGCCAGAACATGACGTTGGCCAAATCGCTCCAAATCGAGGCGTCCGACGAGGCCGAAGCCGGGCTCGGCTCGTCCAAGTCAGGATCGTAGGCTCGAAGCATCGTCGACGGCGACGGCGACGGCGACGGTGGCGTTGACAACGGCGATCTTGTGTAGCCGCCTCCGCCGTTCTGACCGCCACCAGCCGAGGGGTTCATCGGCCTCTTCGGGCGCCGAAAGAGGCCGCTATAAGAGGCGGAATGGTTGTTGTTGTTGTTGTTGTTGTTGTTGTGATGGTGGGGATTGTTGTTGGCGTTGGTGGTAGGAAGGTTGTTGGTACCGCTGGACGGGCGGCCCAGGGTCGCCTGCGCCTCCAGCCAGGACAGGCCGAGGGTGAAGAGGAGGAAGAGGCAACGGGAAGCAGCAAAACGGGTCATCGGACAAGGTGTCGTCAAGACCGAGGCAGCGAGTCGTTTCAGACAGATTGGGCTCAACTGGACGATGCTGTCGTGGTCAGGTTGGCTTTAACTTTGCGCATTGTTGAAAAGTGCGACTCAAGCATGATCCGATGCACACAAACAGGCGATCGGATCGAGGCAGACTCGAGTTAAACACAAAGAAAGTAGAGAATTATGAGTCGAAGAAAGGACACCTGCACACCGACATTCTGCGTTCATGCGTCCGTCTCATTTTGATCTTTTTTTTCGCAGATCAGCCAGCCTCAAAGTTGTCTCTCGTTTGGGTTTTGCGGTCTCGTGACGAGGACCCATGAGAGACAACAGTGCAGATGCATGTGGAAGAATGGCGCATCGATTTGTCGGTACCGATAGAGAAATAATAATGAAGATGACAAGCATAATGATGATTAAAAATTGGTTGAAACGGGTGATGAGGCTGTAGATAATGGATCGTCCTTACGATTACGAATATCAGTGGAATCTCGTGTATTAAATGTACATCAGTTTGTTATATTATTAATAAATTTTCCAAGTCGGAGCCTAAAAACTGAAGAAGAAGAATTCGAAAAATTCCTTTATATTTTTATGTTGGAAATGAAATGTCGTTCAATTGAGGTCTTCTCAATTCGAAGCAGCATCTGGTACGGCACTGAAGCTGCAAGGAAGGGAATGAGATATCGCGATTGAAGTTGCTTCTGCCAATGGTTGTGATAAAAGTTGTCGACAGGTAAGGTATGCAGAGGAAGAGTTGAATCGAATTTCTGGTCACGGTGGTGGAGATGATTGCTGGTGGGTACTATGCTGCTAGAAAAATTAAGGAATATGAAAGATAACTGTCGAATGACTTTACTAAATCAAGATTTTTTGACGTTATTTTCGCGACAATCACATCGAATTCCGGAGGAAAAGGGAAAAATTTTCATCTTATAAAAGTGAGTTGACCTCGTTTTCACAACTTGGTCTTGTTGTCAGAGCGACTTGGTAGAATACACCTAGTCGTCTACCCCATTAGTTGTCACGATTCCCAGCATGAGACAGTGGACTTGGTACATTCTCAAACGTACGTGAGTGTTGCCATTCTCCTCACCAAGACACGAACTTGTCAAAGCGACAAGTGAAGTCAACCTCGCGAAAACGGTTACACTATCACTCCTCTTTCTGTCAATGTCTAGCTATCTACTCTTTACCCTCTTATCCCACTGCCGCCACACCACAACGTGTGAATTGATTGCATTCCACTCTTCAAAATGTGTGCCTTTTGGGGGCAAATCTGCTGTAACCTCATCACACCTGCGATTCACCCAGACTCCATCTCTTTCGATCGACTCATCCGACTCGGGGATACAATCCCGATGCCCTCATTGTCTCGTAGATCCGTTCTTTTTCTTTCTGGTTGACAGATTTCACTCGGTTCCAGTCCCAGTCCAAGTGTGCATTTCACTCTAGGACCTATTTCTCAAAGACCTAGAAGCAAGTACATTTCCGCCTCACCGAGCAGGGCGCCTAGACTGTGATTCACATACCTTCACAGGTCGTCTTCTTGCTTAAACCCATGCTGTCTGAGCAAACTGTGGACGCCTATGACTGGTCACATGCGGCATCTAAAGTGGATTCTGGTACATTTTGGGCGAAACGCCGAATTTCCGTGTCGATTTGCTTATCCGTCTACCCCACGGCTCCCAAAGTTGTA